AACGCACATGAGCCCTGCAGCGGTGCAGCCCTTGTGCCCTTGTGAGGCTCCTCTCGTATTTGTCCGGCTCTCCACTTTGTCACCCAAGTGAGGCCCATGATGTCAATCGGGCTCCGCAAAAAGTGACCCCGGTCGGCATTACGAGAAGATCTTCGCCGCCCCCGGCAGTGCTGGTGCTGTGCACTGAGTGGCAGTTTGCCTCTGGCAGCCGGTCGCCGATGTTTACGAGATGGGGACTGCTGGCCAACGGGACTCCCCTGGCTAAATGAAGTGGCACACCGGCCAACAGGTAGAAGTCTTTGCCATCGTCAAGTTGCTATATAAGGTGACGGACGAATCCTCCTTGATGAATGAAAGAAGAACATCCTCACCACACTCACACTCATCCACCAACCATCTAATCAAAGATAATCTTCCGACCACTACAGTCTTTCCAGAACACCATCAACAAACCACAACTTTCCTACACCTTTCTTCTTTAGAACCAACAACAACAACACCGCCAAAATGCAGTTCAAGGCCCTCACCGCTCTCACCTCCCTCGTCGCCGCCGTCTCCGGCCTCCCGACCTTCTCCGCGACCAACGGCACGGCCACCAACAACACCCTGCCCGCCGACGCCAAGTTCCAGCTCATGGCCCTCCGCTCCGCGTCGCCGGTGCACTTCTCCACCTTCCAGGCCGCCAAGTCCTCCATCTTCCTCCAGCTGCCGTCCCAGAACGCCACCTGCGACCAGCGCAACGCCACCGAGTCCGCCACCTTCACCCTCGGCCAGGACGGCGGCCTCTACCTCTACGCCGCCTCCGCCACCCCCCAGCAGCTCTACGCCGACCGCTCCGGCATGGGCCAGGGCAAGCTCGGCTACACCACCGGCGCCCAGCCCGCCCCCCGCAACGGCGAGCGCACCGGCTGGACCATCGACGCCTTCGGCGACCTCACCCTCGACGGCGCCGGCTTCCTCGCCTGCCCCAACAGCATCGAGGGCGCCTGGTCCATCTGGGTCTCCTCCGGCGTCGCGAACCCTGCTGGTAACACCGACTGCCTCGGCATCTCTGTCCGCGCCGTCCAGGCTGTTGTTCCTAACAGCTGCTCTTACACCTCCAACTAAGGGGTGGGCGAAGCAACTTCTCGGCATGGATTCTTGGTAAATTAAAATTGGCATTTGGGACACGACGAACAACGTCCCGGGAGATATCCTATAGAATGGCGCAACTTGTATTTATGGCATACCCTCTTTCCCCCAAGACACCGAAGGGGACTGTACATCGCAGATGACGCGACAGCAATAACTTTTCTGTACATGAATTAATATGTCACTTTTTCAAATATTTACTCGCCTGCCTGTTTTGACCTGAATGTGACCAACTGCTGCTGATGATCGAGCATCGACTCAAGAATGAAAGCAAATATTCTAATCATTTCACAATCGAAATTGCGAGCTGTTGTAAAACGTGAATTAATTTCTATGCTTGCTGAAAACTTCTATTGTAAGGGATATTGAAACTAGTCTCTAATCTGTCATCAGCCCTCGACCTTGTTGATACCCTCCGCATCAACCACCAACCCCGCCTTCTTAAACTCTTGGTCATTCGTCGGCAGCTCAACCCGCCACTGCGAAATCAGCGCAGCCGAAATTTCAACCTCGCCTTCCGTACCAAGCGCCAGAATGTGGCCACCCTGCGTGCGGTCCTCGGTGATGAAGTGCATGTGGTCGCCCGGGACGCTGATGCCCTGGGTGTACTCTGGCGAGCGAAAGCCAATCACAGTGCCGCGGACGGGCTCCTTGAAGGTGTGGGAGGCCTGGTTCGCGCCGACCTCGCGCATGCTCTCGCCGGGCTTGCTCTGGCCGCCGGCGGTGCGGACGGTGACGTTCTTGAAGACGCCCTCGATACGGATGGCGAGGAAGTAGTTCTTGGAGTCGGGCAGGCGGGCGGACAGGTGGGCGAAGAGGCCCTTCTTGTCGTCGAAGGCGCCGGTGATGTGGGTGTCGGGGCGGAAGCGGGTGACCATGGCGAAGGGGGCGACGGCGTCGCTGGCGGGGCTGGTGTCGACGGCGGTGACAGTGTTGTCCGACTTCATCTGGTACAGCTTGCCGTCGAGGATGATCATCTCGCCGTTCATGTAGCGGAAGGTGCCGAGGCCGTGGTCGCCGTGCTGGATGAGCTCCGAGACGGGCAGGCCGGTGGAGGCGATGCCGTCCATCAGGGCCGAGATGATGGAGTACTGGTAGATCTCGTTGACCGCCATTGTGATGACTGGTGTTTGAGAAGACAAAAAGAAAAGTTGTCTCGGTAAGTGATGCCAAGTATGAGATGCCAAGGTTTGGGTGTCGAAGCTAAGACACAAGAAGATCGCGGTGGTGGTGGTGGTGGTGGTGGTGGTGGTGGTGGTGGTGAGGTCCTAATTGACTTTGGACGACGGGTGATTCGCCAACTGCAGGAAACACGTGTGCTGACTTGCTCTCTTTCCCTTTCCTTTTGATGGATCTTTTCTCTTGTCTCGCGGCTTGCACGGGGAACTTTCTTCAACAATTATGGAGGCGCTCCATAGCCAAAGTCCCTATCGTGCGTTGCATTTGCTGCATGTTTTTGTTGAGTCATCATCACGCGTGCAGTGCTGCCACTGCATGGATAAGCTACTAACAGCAGTAGTTATCAGTGGTATGGACACTAACAGAACACTGAGTGAGGTGCGCTTTGGGTTCCACCTGGCGGCGCTGACGTCAGTTCGACGTGCTTGCGGCATCGCCGGCAGCTTTTGGAGCTTTCAGAAGCAGCAGCAAGCCTTCCACAACAAATGAGGTGACTGATTGAGCGAGCGAACGAGATGCCGGCGGGAGCGAACGGAGCGCGCTAGGGGCTATTGCGGCCTTTGTTTTCTCCACACCGGCGACTGCATCGTGAGAGTCCGTAAGGTATCTTATCCAACATTCCTCTCCCGACATCCTTGGCACGTTGTTGCGGCAATATCCCTCTGCCTCGATGAAAACAGCCTGAGACACATCTACAGCCCTGCTGCTGCTTCGGTCCTCCTACGTTCTCATCTTTATCACCACCTATCACTGACACTCTACAAAGAAAACATCCCCTCAGTACCCCTCACCATGTCTACAGAAACAGTCGACGTCGTGATAGACTCCCTTATAGCCGCTGGCGTCAAGCACATCTTTGGCGTTCCCGGCGCCAAGATCGACTCCGTCTTCAACGCCCTCATCGACCGCCCCGAAATCAAGCTCGTCGTCTGCCGCCATGAGCAGAACGCCGCCTTTATCGCCGGCGCCATCGGCAGGATCACAGGCCGTCCGGGAGTCTGCATAGCCACCTCAGGCCCGGGGACCAGCAACCTCGTCACCGGACTCGTCACCGCCAACGACGAGGGCGCGCCTGTCGTGGCCATCGTCGGAGACGTCAAGCGTGTGCAGGCCGCCAAGAAGACGCACCAGAGCCTGCGCGGCGTCCAGCTCCTCCAGCCCGTCACCAAGAAGGCCACCGGCGCCGTGCATCCCGACCAGATCGCCGAGATCATGCTGGATGCCTTCCGGACTGCGGCGGCCTACCCGCAAGGCGCCACTGCGGTGAGCTTGCCCATCGATATCATGACCGCGGGCACCAAGACAGCCATTCCTGCGCTACCTGAGACGGCCTTCGTACCGCCCGAGTATGGTACTTCACCATCTGCATCTCTGAGTAGGGCGGCGTCCATGATCCAGAACGCAAAGTTCCCCGTCTTGTTCCTGGGTGCGAGGGCAGCTACACCAGAGGCTGTTGAGGCGGTTCACGGCTTCCTTCGGAAGCACCCCATCCCCGTCGTAGAGACTTTCCAGGCTGCTGGATCCATCAGCAAGGAGCTGGCACATCTTTTCTACGGACGCATCGGCCTCTTCCGCAACCAGCCCGGCGACAAACTTCTGTCTCAAGCCGACCTGGTCATCGTCGCTGGCTATGATCAGTCCGAGTACGACGCCGACGCCTGGCACAAGAACAAGGATCTGGACATCCTTCACCTGGACTGGATCCCAGCCGACTACGGCGCCTTCTACAACCCAAGTCTCGAGCTGGTGGGCTCCATCGCCGCCAACATCAAGGCACTCCAGAACATCCTCGCAACCGTCTCCCGCCCACAGGAGCTCGAAGTCTCAAAAGAGATCTTTGCCGAATTCCACGCGTGGGAGCAGAGCCCTCAGGCCCTGGGCCAGACCGGCGACGGCCCCGTCCACCCGCTCCACTTCATCAAGCTCATGCAGGGCCTCCTCCCGCCGTCGCCGACCGTCGCCTCGGACGTCGGCAGCATGTACATCTGGCTCTCGCGCTTCTACTTCGCCTACAGCCCAAAGTCCTTCCTCGTCTCCAACGTCCAGCAGACCCTCGGCGTCGCCCTCCCCTGGGCCATCGGCGCCTCCCTCGCCCAGGAGCCCCCGTGCTCCCGCAAGGTCGTCAGCATCAGCGGCGACGGGGGCTTCCTCTACTCCGGCCAGGAGCTCGTCACGGCCGTCCAGCAGGGCTGCAACATCACGCACTTCGTCTGGAACGACGGAAAGTATAACATGGTCGAGTTTCAGGAGGTCGACAAGTACGGCCGCAGCTCGGGCGTCGACCTCGGCGGCGTCGACTTTGTGCGCTACGCCGAGGCCTTTGGCGCCAAGGGCTTGCGCGTCACCCGCTCGTCGGAGCTGGAGGGCGTGATGCGCGAGGCCCTGAGCCACGTGGGAGTGTGCGTCGTGGACGTCGAGATTGACTACTCGCACAACCACGAGCTGATGAAGAATGTCATCCAGGACTCTATCAGTTAGACTTTACACGGGTATTGTCGGACGGTGGGGCGTTTTTGTTTTTGCGCAATACTTGGGCGAAAGGGTCTGTGGTTTAGAAAACGTTTGCTTTGCGCGCCAAGAGCACGGGATTGTATCATTTAAGAATGCCAAGAAAAGCTTGTCTTGTTGCTCTTTGATCCGGATTAGGAGTGAGCGTTGTTGAGGATGTTGTTCGGTCGTCTGATGAGAGATCAGATGCTTGGGTGAGAGCAATGGTTCCTGACCACGTTGAAGGTTGTGTTAGTCTGTGCTGGCTCGGTCTCGGAAAACAGGAGCAGTTCAGAGGCGTGAATATCAATAGGTCGTTCGAACAAAGAGGTGACTGGAACTAGCACTGCCGAGTTTGTCAGGCTGCTGGAGGAGTTGGGTTTCTTGATGTAGTAGGCTTCAATAGTATCTAGGGTATCAGCACCATTCGTGACCAACAAGACAATTACGCCTTCCTCCCCTTCGCTCTTCGCCGTCTGGGCTGGAGGCGATGTTGGGGTCCGCGCCGCGCTGGAGGAGGAGCTCGACGAGGGGTTTGTTGGCGATGCAGCCCTCGTACAGCAGCGGCGTTCTCTCCTCGTTGAAGGTTGCGCGGCGCCACGCTTGGTTCGGGTGCCAGCCGGAGTCCAGGAGGACGCGGATCAGGGGTATGAGGGTGTCCCCACCGGTATGTGTGTTCTCGAAGATGCTGCTGTCGGCGAGGTAGGAGCTGTCTTTGGTCGTGACGCGGCGGGCGCGGCTGAAGACGTTGCTGTGGAGGGGTGTACCGCGCGATAGGAGGTACTGCGCGACGGCTGGTTGGTTTCCGAACGAGGCTTGCTCGAGACCGTGTTGGAGAATTGCTTGGCTTGGCGTGGGGGTCTTCTGGGTGAAGGAGGCGACTTCTTGAAGGGAGCCAGTCGCGCAGGCTATGTAGAAATGGACTTCCTCGTCGTCTGGGTTGATGAGATTGGCCGTGAGAGAGTAGTCTGGGCGTGGGAGCATTGGAGGCAGCGGAGGCAGATGCGCGGAATGAGCTTCCTCGGAACGACTGAACTTGGTCTTCCGATCACTGACAGGGTGGGTATTCTGGTTGAGAGCTTCATTTACATCCTTGATTAGATGAATTCGCTCCCTCATCAGCCGGACTTGTTCTGCGTCAGCCGCCGGAGGAGATTCAGATAGAGTAGCATTCATAGCGAGAAGAGATTCAGGGCCCTTGGTCTCAAAAATAGGAAATCAGTTAGATGGGTCGACGCGGGCTGGTACCGGTTTGAAGGGCTTTGGCAAGTGAAGAGAGACGAGGAAATGGGGTGAGGTGAAGGTGAATAGGTGAACACATGCAGGCATCAGTCGCGCAGAACACCGCCTGATACTCAAGTTACCAAGGCAACAATTTCACGAACAACGAATGCGTTATCCCTAGATATGTATCTTCACGTGACAAGTCTCTTGCATGGGTTTCAGTTCGTTTTGTTGGTCCAACGCGCTGTGTTGGTTGCAACCCCCCTGAATCGCACCAAGACTGCCTTATGATAATACATCAATGAAATCGATCCCTCTCGCTATATAACGCTATCGGTCTTGAGACTTATGATAGAAAGCTTTGATTTAGAATTCCAAAATTCCAATACATATTCGTGAATCATAATCTCACGGCGCTGTAGTCTTAGCCCGCTCAAACTCGTCTTGCACAGTACGCCCAAAGGCTTCAACAGCCGTCTCCAACGCGGCCTCGGGAGCCGCTACAAACGTCAACCGTAGGGAAGCTTCCCTCACATTGTCCGTCTCAGCCGCGAACCAGCTGCCCTTCGTCACCAACACCCCATTCACGCTGGACTTTTTGTAAATCCTGTCCTCAATATCAAGAATAGTAGCCGATTCAAGGGTCTCGGACACCTTCACGGCAGGATGCTTTGACATATCCAGCCGTACCAACAAGAACATGCCAAACGTGGGAACGGTCCAATTGCACACATCCCGCGGAAGGTGCTTCTCACAAGCCTCAACGAGAATGTTGCGTCGGCGGCTGTACTCCAGAGAGATGTGGCTCAGCCAGTCAAAGAACCCCCGATGTCCCCACGACTCGGCAAGGAGCTTGTACATCATGACTTGAGACGGTCCCGCTGGGAAAGCGGAGCTGATCTCCGTGTTGGCCACAAAGATGCGCACTATCTCGGCGCTAGCGGTCAGCCAGCCGATGCGGAGTCCTGGAGCGAGGATCTTGGAGGTCGAGTCGAGGCGGATCACGCGGCCTGATTTGTCCAGAGACAGGTATGAAGTAGGCAGGTTTTCCAGGTACTTCTCCGCGGAGAGTTGGGCGTTGGAGTCGTTCTCGAGTTGCAGGTAGAAGTACGGGTCGTCTTCGATGATTAGGAGATCGTGCTTCTCGGCGAGTTCGTAGATGGCTCTGCGGCGCTCTGTGGACTGCGTCACGCCCGTGGGATTATGGCCGGAAGGGATCGTGTACAAGACGAATGGTTTCGGTCCCCTGGCCTCGTCCCAAGTGCTCAAGACTCTGTCGAGTTCCGCGGGTATGAGTCCCTCTGTGTCCATAGTGATCCCGACAGAATTGAAATTTTGCGCTTCCGCAATCTCGATAGTAGGCGGGTAGGTCAGACTTTCAAAAAGTACTGAGTCGCCGGGCTTGACGAACATGCGGAAGATAATGTCAAGAGCAGAAGTTGTCCCACAAGTCAGACAAGTTCGCCAGTCTTCATACTGAGCCTTGTGGATCAGATCGACATGCTCAGTGACGAAGCGAATCAGCTGAGCATGCCCAGCTGCATCACCGTAGTTCAGAGCCTTAGACAGGTCAAAATCCTTGTCTCCCGCAGAGCAAGATGCGGGTGTAGTGTCATCTCCAAAAGCGCCGTCACTTTGATGTGTCTTCCCATGAGCAGTAAGCGAGTCCCAAGGGAAGTACTTCGGATTCGGCCGTCCAGTCCCCAAGCTGATCATGTTTGACGACTTGAGTGTAGCTGCCGCCGCCTTGAGTTTGGACGGCATCCGCGCTTCCAGGCGGTGGCTCCATGACTGGGCTTTCGGCTTTGCCTCCGTCTCCGTGGCGTGTGGCTTGAGGATGTCGGGGTTGCTGGCCGCCGTGAAAGTTGAGGCTTGAACTTGGGGTAGAGCCCGAGCTTGGTCTAAGCTGGCTAGCGTTTGGAGAAGCATTGTTGAGCCGGAGTTGCAGGGTTGAGCCGAAGTTTGCCGATGGCTGTGCGCCTTGACAAAACTACTGCCATGTCAAGGTTTCAACCACCTATTTATCCATCATACAACTACAGGCTGCAGTTCAACACTCCGAAAGTCGGCATCAATCACGCAATTGTCGTGATAGGAGAATACGGCGTGGTTGGGCTCTCCGGCGTCCCTCATCGGAGTATCGGAGAGAGTATCGGCGAAGCCCCACTATTACCGGCGTGTCGGAGTAGCGGCACATGAAGAGGGGGTCTTGCATGATGATGATAAAGCAGCTCAGCTATTCAACAGAGTAAAGACGGGTAAACGCAGCACATAAAGCAAGAAACCCAGACGCAGTATTGAAAGAAAGAAACACCAGTAACACAACATCAAGTCAGAATGGGTTCCGTCAAGGACAGCAGTGCCCCCACTATCAAGTTGGCCGAATACCTCTTCACCCGCTTGCGCCAGCTAGGGATAGACTCGGTCCACGGAGTCCCCGGCGACTTCAATCTCCACCTGCTCGACTATGTCAAGCCGTCCGGGCTCCATTGGGTCGGCAACGCCAACGAGCTGAACGCCGGCTACGCGGCCGACGGGTACGCCCGCATCAAGGGCATCGGAGCTCTTGTTACAACCTCCGGCGTCGGAGAGCTCTCGGCCATCAATGCGATTGCTGGAGCGTATGCTGAGCGCGCCGGCGTCGTTCACATTGTCGGGACCCCATCGCGGCATCTGCAGGACAACAGAGTCATGCTCCACCACGGATTCAACGACGGGGAATACAGACGGTTTGCGCAGATGCACTCCCATGTCACCGTTGCGCAAGCCAGCTTACGCTCTGCGAATAAAGCCCCCGTTCAGATTGACGAGGTTCTGAAGCAGTGTCTAGTGCAAAGCCGGCCGGTTTACATCGAGGTGCCTCAAGATCTGGTCTCCGTGCCCGTCCCTGCTCAGAATCTCGAGACCCCCGTCTGGACACCCAGCTACAAGCCCACATCCACAGATGAAGCCGCTCTGGCAGCCATTTTGGACAGGGTGTCCTCTGCTAAAGAGCCATTGATACTTGTGGACGGCGAGATAAGACCCCTCGGAATCACCGAAGACGTTCAGAAGATTGTTGCGTCTACCGGCTGGCCCACCTGGACAACCCCTCTCGGCAAGTCCTTGATCGATGAGACGCTGCCCAACTTCCACGGCATCTACAAGGGCAAGCAGGCCAATTCGACTGAGAAAGAGCTCTTCGGTAGCTCTGATCTCATCCTCTACTTCGGCCCTCACCTCAGCTCAACAAACACCAACCAATTCTCCATGATCCCCAGACCTGAAGCTTCTATCCTCTTCACGGACACTGAGGTCAAGATCGGAACCCAGGTCTTTCGAGATGTTACAGCAAGGGCCGTTGTCCGTGCCCTAGCTCAAAAATTGAAGACTTCCAACATCCATCGCTATGATTCCTACCCAGAGTTGCCGAGGGACTTCAAGATCTCTTTTGCGGACATTCCGCGTGACGGCAAAATCGACCAGTCCAAGATCTGGCATCTTCTGGCTAACATCATTCGACCGGGAGATGTCGTCCTCGGGGAAACAGGGACATCCGGGCATGGAAGCCGAGTCTACCCCATGCCGCAGCATTCCAGACTCTTCCTTCCTTCTACTTGGCTGTCCATCGGTTACATGCTCCCAGCGGCACAGGGTGCAGCTTTAGCCCAGCGGGAGCTCATCCAGTCATCCAAATACTACAGCATCGAAAAAGCCCAAACGATCCTCTTTATCGGTGACGGTAGCTTTCAGATGACAGTGCAAGAGCTTTCAACCATCATCCGCAATAATCTGGACGTGATCGTCTTCCTGATCAATAATGACGGCTACACCATCGAGAGATGCATCCACGGTCTCGAGGAGGGATACAACGATGTTGCGCGCTGGCGATATCTTGAAGCCCCAAGCTTCTTTGGCGCAAGCCAAGATAGCTATGTGCGGTCTGCCAAGACGTGGGGAGAGCTGGAAGACATCTTAGGCGACGACAAACTGATAAATGGTAAAGGGCTGAGAATGGTGGAAATTTTCATGGACGTTGACGATGCGCCAGAGGGAGCTTTATTAGACCTGATGAATGCAGAGAAGAAAAGACTGCAGACTATGTAATGTAAGATTCCTTTCATATTCAAGATCGTCGTTGTCTCCAGTGGTTGTGTTACTGTTAGTGGTCTTCGCGCCCGACTTCAGCTCACCCCTGCGCTTTCAAATAGCGCAGAGCTCAACGACTCGTTTTCAACTCCATCAACCGTGCACACATCTTGCCGCCATCTTCTTTCTTTTCCTCTGCCTTTTCAGATAAAAATAATAATCGAAACAAACGCCAGAGCCCCCTCGGCCAGCGACTTTAAAGTCCCACTTTCTCCCACGAGCGCCTAACAAATGAGAATCCCCAGGTTTCGCTAAGCGCCCTGTCCCAGGGCGGCAAAGCACAAACGATTGGGGGTTGACTGACAGGCAGTCAGACGTCTGTCCCCGCCCTACGATGACCCCTGCAGGCGGTTTCAGCCCTGCTGGAGTTGGTTTGATTGGCTGTGGAATTCCCATCATGAGATCCGGCCAGGGCCAGCGATCAAGGGTCTGGCTTGCCTTGGGCGTCAGTCGGATGCGACTCAGCCCTTTTGTCTCGTCAACGATGAGTCTGTTCATGCCTTCTCTTTGTCTGACGGGGATGGTTATAAGAAACTGTTCATGGCCGTCCCAACGTCCTGAACATGGTCACTCTGAATCAGCCCTCATCTCAGATTCACTGCAATTTTACGTCTGCGTTTTCCTTGAGTCTTTCTTTCTGCATCACGGCAAGACTTTCTTTCTTTGCATACTGCTAGACAGTTTTATATTCTTCTCGGTCTCGCATCACTATCGCAGTCGAGACTTGAAACGCATTTTGCATCAACACCTTTCTTCAGCATAGAAGGAATCCACCTCTCTTTTCATTTTACAACCTCTGCATTTACACGATACCCCCAAGACCATCCTCAAAATGGGTCGATTCTCAAACGCAATCAAGGCCGGTCAGACCGTCATCGAACTCGGCCGCAACGCCCAAGGCCTCGCCGGCGCCGCCAACGAATTCCGCACCGCAGACAAGGGCGAGATGGGCCGCAACGTCGGCCGCGCCGCCTTCAGCGAGGGCGCCGACACCGGCAAGACGATGGGCAAGACGTGGCTCAAGACGTTCGAGGTCGTGCCGCGCCTGGTGTGCCGCGGCCTGCAGTTCCTCTTCGCCCTCATCGCCTGCGGCTTCTACGGCAACCGCGTACAAGCCGATGATAAGGCTGACAACGGCTTCTCCCCCGAGTGGATTCTTGCCATCACCGTCGCCGGCGCAGCTGCTGTCTCGTCGGTGCTTTTCGTGCTCGCGACGCCTCTCAGCGCTATTCCCTTCATCGGCAGCAGGGTTAAGCTGTTCAAGACATACCGCGCCTTCGCCTGGGACTTGTTTCTTTTCATCATGTGGATTGTGGTGTTTGGAATTTTCGCGGGCATCTTCCTCAAGAGGAGCAGTGATGACAAGTACAAGGGTGCCAGCACCACGGCGATGAAGACTGCGGTCTGGGTAGATCTCGTCAATGCCATTCTCTGGCTCATCTCTGGTGTTTATGGATGCATCAAGACGTTCTTGGGAGACAAGGTGGACCACTTGTCAGACAAGGCTGGTAAGAAGCTGTTTGAGAAGAAGAAGCCGGCGCCGGCGAAGGACGGCTACGCTGAGAGCGTGTGAGGAGCGCAAGCTTTTCGTTTTCATTATGTAAACTAGATAATTCCGGTTGGTTTTCGGTTTGTCAGGCGTGGAAGATGGCATCAGGAAGTTAATATCTGGCGAAACGGCGAAGGGGACTCACAGGACATACGTATTCTCCAGATCAACAAATGGACAAGCTAGGAATGCTTGCGTTGCTTCACTCGCCTGGCCATCCGACATCATTTCACAAATTTCATTGCCTGATTGTTGACCACCCAAGGCTCAGTTTGCTTTCTTGATAATCTATGAGCATTGAGATTGGCACGCAATGTAGTTATCCGTTTATGCAGTCGGCAAATCTCGACATCACCAAGCTCTTGATACCAACTTTCATGGCCCTTTTGAATTAGCAACTGTTTCTTGATTGTTGGTTGGATCCCACACGTTTTGATAGAAGCTTTTGTTCAAGCAATCACCTTCACAAACAGACGTGAAGGATACCCATTTGTCGCATACGCTTCGTTTGGCATTTTGTCGATGATTTACCTTTCCTAATGCAATCGACCAGTCATCGAGATGGTCATAGATGGCCGAACCTAGAAAGACATTCTTCAAGTATTTAGGAGCATCATGTTCGTTTGAGTTGTATCACTTCCTGGTCACTCGATAAGTTCAACAGCAACGCAACTTCTCTTGTCTTGCAATACCACACGCAACATTGACGCCTGTCATGGATGATCAACTTTCCTGCAACCTGCCGGACAATGTTTCGCCGGAAGGACATTATCTGGATGTCCCAAATCCAACTATTGTCGGCCTGTATGGTGTGCCCGCATGTGGCAAATCCTTTCTCCTTCGTCAACTGAAGGCCAACCTTGGCGAACAGCACTACGCCTTTTACGAGGGATCCGAAGTGATTGACGGCCTCGTTCTGGGAGGCCTCCCCGCATTCAAAAAGATGCACCTGGACGAGCAGTACTACTGGCGCGAACGTGCGATCACCTTCATCAGTCGGCAATGTCGAGAGACCAACCGTGTCGGAGTTGTCACGGGTCATTATTCCTTCTGTGATGGGGGAGAGAGCCCGAAGGCAATCTTCACCGATGCGGACTCTCTCTGCTACACCCACATCTTCTACCTCGACGTTCCTGCCAAGGATGTGGCCCGCCATTGTCTCGAGGACACCTCACGATCTCGTTCCTCCATGTCGGTCGACCATATCGAGGAATGGATGCTTTATGAAACCTCAATGCTCGAAGACCTTTGCCTGGGTCATGGCATATTGTTCGGGAAAGTGTCATCAACTCCCTCACTTCTGGACAAAGTCTCAATCCGTCTCAACGACATCCGCCAACACTCTGAAGCAGAGAATCTCACCCGTGTCATCAGTATTGTAGACCAGATGGTGAGCAGCAAAAATTCCCGTGGAAAGTTGGACTCCATGCTGGTCTTTGATGCAGATAAAACTCTGTGCGCCGCGGATACAGGCAATCTCTTCTGGCATTTGGACTACCCTGAGTCTGCCTGCACCGAGTGTGACATTGACACCCCGCTCGAGGAGTTGTTCAGCAGTGAAATGGGGTATTCATACAAGGCCTTTCGGCAAGCCATGCTACGGTATGAGGATGTCGAGTACAAGTTCGAAGTCTTGTGCGATGGCGTTGCATCTAGAGTATTCATTTACCCCGAATTTCTTGCCTTGCTCCACGCTGCAGAGAAGAAGAGCAATGTGGATGTTGTCGTCGTCAGCTGCGGCATCCGTAGAGTGTGGGAAAAGATCTTGGCCAGAGAGGGTCTCTCGGATGTCACTATCATCGGTGGAGGTCGAATCGCGGATGGTTACGTCGTCACTCCTAAGGTCAAAGCAGCTGTCGTCTCCCGTCTGCAGGATCACCACAACCTCTACGTCTACGCTTTCGGAGACAGTCCGATGGACTTGCCCATGCTCAAAGCTGCTGACGAGGCAATCGTTGTGGTCGGAGAGGAGCGGCTCAGGAGCAAGAGCATGGACGAGGCGCTACTGAAGGCAATCGCGGAGGATGGTCTTCGAGCAAAGCAAATGCTGATGCCCAGAACTTCAGGGATGCATCTTTCCAGCAGCTTGCTCCCGGTGTTGCAGCTCGATGCTCAACAAATTGTCGCCGAATTCACTAAGACTCCTCAGCATCTTCGCATCTTCCACGCTACTGAGAAGGCTGCAGCTAAGTTGCTCATGACGCCAACCCGTGACGCCTCCATCGCCGGGCCCGGCCTTCGCGCGGCCCACTACGAAGTCGGTCGCTATCTAGCTATCGAATTTCTCGCGGAAATCCTAGAAGTTGAAGAGTATCCCATACCTCATGTCCAGGGCCACATGACTGCGGGTCACAGACTGCTCGGCGAGGAATCGACAGTGATCATTGCTCTGATGCGAGGTGGTGAGCCCATGGCTTTAGGTGTCAACGAGGTTTTCGCCAAGGCCATGTTACTTCATGCCAAACAGCCAGATGACATCCATGAGAAGGCCATGACAGGCAAGAAGACTGTGATACTGGTGGACTCGGTGGTTAATAGTGGGAAGTCGGTCAAGGATTTCGTCCGCCATCTTCAAGCGATGGATGCCACCATTCATATTGTTGTAGTGGCTGGCGTGGTTCAAAAGAAGGCTCTTACCAAGGTCATGAAGCCTCTTGGTAAGACTGCTGATCTGAGTCTGCTTGCGCTGCGGCTTTCGGAGAACAAGTTCACTGGGCAAGGAGGTACGGATACGGGCAACCGGCTGTTCAACACTACACACATGTTGTAAGCTAAAGTACCTTATGTACAGATTTAGCCCGAGAAATGAAGGGACTTTAAACCGAGGATGCGTAAGGAGTTGGTCTGGAGAGGGCGGATAGGACGGACGGCAAAATATGAATAGTGAAGATACGATAAGTACTTTCGCGGGCCGCAAATTGATATCTTAACACGTCCCATGAGAAACTCCCCTGTCGTTTTGCTTTCTCTCTTTTGACTCTGGTGTAATATAATTTATTGTCGCCTGCCGGTACATCTTGTCGACTTCCGTGTCACGGTAAGGAATCAACATCACCTCTACTCTTCAAACAAAACGAGAAGCTACTGGTTTTAAGTTGCATGCGTCTAGTAAATACGTCAAACGATGAAACTCAGCATTTGCCTCTTGAAGTTGACACGATGACACGATGCATTCATCATACACGCAGTCTCGGTTGTTGTTAAACAACTAATATGGAAGGCGGACCATCCTCTCCAGGAGCAATGGCAGGTCGCCATATCCCTCCATCGTATCAATCGCCGTCCAAAATTCGTTGAGATGCGTCTGTTCGCCTTTTCTAGAAGTAGATGTAACGTTACAAATGCTCCTTGGCATGAAATTCGACCCCAACTGTGTTCCGTGCCACTTCTTGACACATGCCTGCCGTGGTTTGGTATCTGATGTCAGAAACGACAACAGCCCCTTAAATTTGTCTTGTTAAGTGCTGATCATTCCGGGTTCTGTTGGTTTCCATGATTTAGACCGTATTATTACGTCCAGGATCACCCAGTTCACAGACATCTCGACTTGTGGATGAGCATAGTTCGGCTTCAGCAATACCTCCGCCTTCTTGCGCCCGACCGATGAACGCACGTAAACCTGGACCGCCGCAGACGCGGATTGCCGATGCCACTGCAGTGACGACGCCGAGGGGTGCCATCGCAAAGATGAAGTTGTCCAGCCACGATGTGGACTCGCTCAGGAACTGCATTGTCACTCTTTCGCCAAATAGAGCTAGCAGCGGCGCGAGATCGGTCGCCAAGTTGTTCGAGAAGTCGTCCCACCATTCGGCCCTCGTCGTCGTATACAGACAGAATGCCACCAGCAGGTGCAAGTGAATGAGTTTGAACTTAGGCATCTTCGTCGTGGTTTGAATAATTGATGCTATTCAGGATTAGGTAGTAAGGTTATCTCGTTGACGGCAAAACACTGATGTCGAGAAACAGAAAAGGAGATCTACTCAATGCCGTGGCACGAGGGAGGAGGAAATATTGTGGGAAAGTACCAGGCGACGAAGAGGAAACAAGCCGGGATGCGGCCCGGACCGATGAACTAATTGAGCGTCTTGGCTGCATCTAGCTAACCAACCTCGGCGAGAGATGCAGGCCTGCAGGCCACGATTACCGGTCTTATCTGTCTTCTGTCCAATGAGCCATGTCAGAAGCGATGCGGTGCAATACGCCGGGACACGTATGTTACTGACACTGGATCGCATGCTCAGCTTATGAGGAAGAGAGCACCAACAACCTGCAGACGATGTCTGCAATCATCGAACGATTGCTTCACCAGAGTCAAACATTTCATTCGTGAAAGCCGGCCTGTCCCGCGGTCTGGGGTTTAGACGATACTCAGTGTAACCCTCCTTTGCTACGAGATTTGGGTAAAGCCGTAGCATCAGGCTATCATAATGAGTAAAATATGAAGCGGATAACTAAATAATTTTGCTGTTGTAGACTGCACCGAATTGAAAGCACGCTTCCACTTACGAAGGGGGCATCTTTCACGTAAAGTTCGTGCCCTGCTGGTCCCAATAATTGAGAGCCCTGTTACATTCGAGAAGGTCGCCTTCAATCGCTCGAGTATTTTTTTCAGATGACTTGTAGATTTCTTAATTCGAATCGCATTGAATGTGAAGTAAACACCATCTCCGTACGAGTGACGTGTTGTTGTAATGAGACTATCCCTACTCGGCCTATTGCGCGCCAGCAACGATGTTTAGGAATAGAGAGATTGTTCAGTCCTCAGATATAGCTAGAGTTCTTTCGATGTCCTGGCAATCGAGTATCAGGCAGAGCTAGAAGCGCGAGTTCGGCCTGTCGAGTTTACCGTAAGGTTACATGTATTCAAGGCGCTCACCAACCCAGAAGTAAAATCGCCCCCGGACCTTCTGCATGAGAGCGTTAGCCAGTGTTTCTAGGTCCTCCAAAATTTCGTTTCGGTACAGACTCTAGAGATCATTTTGAAACTGAGGATTGTTGGTTTCCTTATGACCTTAGGCATCAGAACGAGATCACCATGGACATGCTTTCATGTAGATAGCAAGTCGGTGGGAAGCCTTTTCAAATGCCTCATCGGACCCTTGCAGAACACACAGTATGGTTAGATTGTGAAGTTGCAGCGGTAGAGGCAGGTGTGGCTTTGATTGTAGTTGACAAGCAGTTGCAGGCGGTGTCTTGAGAGGAGGACAACACGATTCGGAGAAAGCGGGGCTGTGGCTAGCCCATCGCCGTATCACTGAACTGAAAGGCCTGTTGTTGTCTCGTTTATTGAAGTTGCTAAAGAAGGGGATGAAATTACGGCAAAGGGGGTACTGTTGAAAGTGGAGGGCGGGAAGCAGTCGGTAAGTCATATCAAATTATTCGGTTCTCAGTTGACTGTTCCTAATTCAAGCAGGTCAAATCTGTTGATTGTTTACTACGCCACAGGATGTGGCGGCAAAAGGTGAAGCCGGAAAGCATTGTTACTTAGATTCCACGATGTGCCCTTTCTGAAAAGGAGATGTTCTGCACTTCTCAACACCTTGAGGTAACGAAGAAATACATTATGGGTAGCGATTCTTTAGGCACGCGATGTTTTCTTAGTCTTCGTTGCAGGTTGGATTACCGCATCCAACCCAAGAACTCGGAAGTCGATGTTATATACACAGTGTCCACCGTTTGTATTGAGACGTGACGCAATTTTCATCTCAGAGTTCGCCATGAAGTCATTTCATCAAAATCACGGCTACCTGTCAATACTTTAGCTGACGAAGGAAGGAACGCACAACGCAGGCCAGTCTTGAAAAACGCTGCAACTAAGACCTTTCCCATCATGCAATTTCATTTGATTTACGCAGATAAGCTAGAATCTCCCAAGACACGAAATATCAAGGTCTCGACTCGATCTCCTCCCGAACCTCCTTCGGAAGGCGCGCGTCTTCCCGCCAGACAAACAGGATCGCCGCAGCACCACCGATGACGACCATGACAGCAACGCTGACGATAGCAACGACGGCACGAGTATGAGTCTCCATGATGGCTTTTTGACTCACCTTAAGATGTTTGTCTGGTTTGTTTGCGGTGGCGCGGGGTTTCTCGACTTTACCCCTGAATGTTTATATTAGCGGTGATGGTTCATAGAGCTGTATTGTCAAATACTGAAGTCGAATAAACCGTCGAATATCTGCGTATCCCAAATTCTCAAAATTTCTGTTTGTTGATTTTCGTCTGGTTCCAAGCTTTCGCTCCTTCCGTCCCAGTCACCCAAACCATCAACTCACCTAAATACCACCCACAAACAAAGCACCCTCATCCCAAACACCACCCCAGATCCCACACAAACCACCCACAAAGACCCCTTCTCAAAATTCTTTCTTCCCCTTCAGTATCTTCACACAGCAAGCCCGCCCGCCTCGTCACAGACCATCTGTGAAAAACCAGACCGCGCTGGGGCCCAGCTCGGGTTGTTCATCACCAGCCTCGCTCCCGCACCTTCTCACCCATAACAAAGCCATTGTCCCACCCGCATCTCACCTCTTCTCGAACTTGTGAACAGATTCACACTTGTCCAGTCCTCGACCCTCGAAGACCTACTCTAGGCCTTCTACGAGTAGTGAACAAAAGAACAGCGCATATATCCATCAACGCGCAAACGCCAGCACTCAAAAGGAAAACTTCCCCTTTTCCCACCTTCCATCCCACGCGAAAATCAACAATCACAAAATTGCGACGCGCTCCAAGAAGTAAGTGAATTTTTCATCCCCTAATCCCACACAGTTTCTCACTTGAGAAATACAGATTAAGCACCTGTAGGTTAGGAGAGTGCTTAGCCCAAACACCAGACCGAGGACGCGCGCGCCTCGTTTGCTCACAAAACCAACCCAATCTGGCGATACCCTCACCACCCACCACACTAAAAACAACCTCACTGGAGGTGAACTCCCATCACAATGTCTGACTTCAGGTACCTCCCCTTCCCGCTCCCCGCTGACGCAACCCTCACACTCACCACCACAATCACCAGAGACCCCTCGACCCCTATCCCAACCGCCACCACATCGCCCTCAATCTCAACCAACTCCCTCCGAGACCCTTCCCAGACCCTCTCCATCACCACAATCACGCTCCGCGTCACAGACGCCCCATCCAACTCCAGCAGCATCATCCTCAGTACCATCGCGGCATCCCCATCCTCCACTCTTATTCCAACCCCTACCCCCTCCGGCCCAGCCCACAAGCCCGCAGTCCGAGGCGACATCACTCCCACATTCTACATCCTCGCCCTCGTCCCCATCCTAGTGATGATCCTCTGCGCCTACGAATCCTACACCCACCGCAAGATCGACGCCAAGCAGAAGAACATCACCACCACCACCAGGGCAGCCGCCCCTCGCAACCACCCCAATGGCGACATCGAGCTCCAGGACCTCTCCACCGCTCCCGCGGCCCCCCTGCGCCAGTACTGGTGGTTCGAGGACGACACCGTCACAAACCAGGTAAGCACCGACACCGACGACCGCGGCGTGCCCTACAACTCCCTCTGCCACCCGCCTCCCCCTCTCCCCCTCCCCTCCCTCTGGACAGCCTCCTGGTGGCCGTACAGCCGCGGCAGCGGGCAAGGCCGTCCCCACGGCACACTCCCCGGCTGGGGCAGGCGGCACACCTTCTCCGAGTGCGGCTCGTACCCCTCCACCTTCGACCCGTCCCGGCCGCGTCTCGGACTCAAGTTTGAACCTCTCACCCAAGAGGCCAGGAGACGGGCGCGGGACGGAGGAGAAGGAGGAGGAGGGGAGGTATACTCGCGCCGCCTGATCGTGGGCCGTGACGCCGACGGCGTGATCCAAATCGTCATCCACCCCCGCCCCCCAGCCAAACCCCAAGACGAGCCCCAAGACGATTCCCAACTAACTCTTGTCCCCTCTCCCAGGCCACCGACACCGCCCCCGCAGCCGCCGAGACCAACCTCGTGCCCTCCCGCCCTTCTACCCCCGACTGGGCCGCCGGCATCCCCTCTTACTACAACAATGGCCGCTCCCCGACCCTCAACTACTCCTCCTCCGTCTCCTCCTGCTCTTCTACCTCCGTCACCGACGTGGATATGATCCCGCCCGGCATGTCCGCCAGAGCCGCCGGCAAGCTGCCCGCCAAGCCCTAGAAGGGCAAGGCCAAGGCCAGCAGCAGCAGCGGCGGCGGCAACAGAGACGAGGCTGCCGCAGCCGCGGTCGCCACCAGCACCGGCCAGCCCACCACCACGGCTGCGACGTCTCGGCGCCCGAGGAACGTCGCCGCCGGCGAGGGCTCATCCTCGTCGACCGACGTATCCCAGTCTGCGGACGCCCCGAAGAACCTCCCGCCCCGGTGCGACACCTGCAAGGCGTGGCCGCTCATCGAGTGGCCCCGTCTCTGCACCTCCTGCGGGCAGGTCGTCTAAAGGCCAAGCCCACGGACACAAGAAACCGGTCGAGAGAGGGAAGGGGAGCACCAAACCGCCATCCCTATCCCTGCCATGCGTGTGCGAGGAAGAGAGCCGCATCTCGAAATCTCTCCGTCCGTCTTGGCTCGTTCCATCTGCATTTTGTCCAAGGTGGGCAGGCGCTCCGACCAGGCGCATCTACCATGCTTACCGCTTTTGTCGCAGATGGGGGAGAAACCCAAACTATACCGCAGATGGAAGAACGATGCGTCCTCGTACTTTGGATGAGCGAGGGAGACGGGGGGCGAGAGAGGGCGAGAGCATCTGTAGGGTATACTGTACAACTTTGGACCGGGGATAACCAAGATAGCAAAGAGCAAAGAGAATCAAAATCCAGGCAAACACCCCGCGGAAGCCAGCCAGCGTGAGAACCCATCGAGTACGAACCGCGGATCCTCTAACACTCGTCGTTATAGTTCTCTCCCTCCCCTTTCCGAGATCTTGGATGAAGGAAAGAGATCCCGTAAACTCTGAGACGGGAAGGTAAGGGAAGGGAAGACTCGAACTCAAAATCTTGTCTTGGAAGGACGGAAAGACATTTGGGATGCCGCCCGCTGGGTGCGTCCCAGAAGACGAAAGCATGAATGGGCGAGTGCCGAGGTGGAGTGGCCTATCAACTGTCAGCTATTGTTTTGTAGAAAGGGTCTACCCCAACAAACGTGCGTTGTTTCAAGTCAATCACTTTGGCCAAAACACATCAGAGGAGGGATGACCCTGACGACAAACATTGGGAATGGTGTGAAGCGTGAGGAAAAGTGTGTGTTAACCAAGAAATGGGAACAGCCCGTCGGCCAGAGCGCTTCTCGACCGCGGGCTGCCCCTTTGAAACTCTTTGATTGCTCTTCTCTGATACCCTAATGCAATAGAGTGGCCGTCTAATAGTAGCCGGACAATAAGATCCCATTCCGCAATAATCCCATTTTTCTCACAAACCGCAGTTGTCGCAAACTGCATGCTTCCTTCCCAAAAACGCTGTTGTAGAAGCGCCCCAATACCCTTGAACAAAAAGTGCTGGTGCTGTTCTCCCCTGCTGAGAAATGAAGTAGGAAAGCCCTTGCTCCTGCTCCTGCTCCTGCGAACGCGGACACGAGGTGGTGCCTCGCGCCCAGTTGCCCCAATAGCCCATCCCATGCTCGCGCGTATCACGGCAGCGAGAAGGGTGGGTTGCTCCCTTGTTGTAGGATACTGAATCGAAAAGTGCCGCTGCTCGCTCGCTAGTTGGTTGTCCATGCAATTGACTCCGAAAACGCCTGTTCATTATGGTTGGTCCGTTACCGCCCGTTCTTTGGTGACAAAGCTCGACAATAGAAGTTGAAAACAGAAAGCCCCCGATGTGGCCGTCGGGGCCTGGTGAAAGTGTAGAAGTCGTTGCATATAATACAAGCTGAAGGGAAGGCGACTCGAATGTACGGCGTCGGATTTTGACTGGGTATTATCCGAGTATGTTCGGCTTGATCCGTGGGTTGGTTAGGTGATGATCCGCACCCCGTGGGCATTCCGTTGGCAAGGTTTGTTGCTGGCTCAAGTGCCTCGCTTATCTGTTGCTACTGGTATCGCCCCAGATGGGTGCGCCGAGGGGCTTGCTGACACCAAAGCCAACACCGACGCCGACACCAATGACGAGGAGGCCAAGTGCGATCTTGGTGATGATGCGGTTCTTCTTGCTCATTTTCGCCATGCAGGCGCAGGAGCTGCGATCTCTCTGACGCTTGGCAGCCTTCGCCCTAGCCTTCCAGTCCTGCTTCCCCGGCCATATCGTGGGGCAGTCTGCCTTGGTAGTGGTGATGGTCTTCATGGCGTAGGGGTCGGAAGAGGAGGTGGCAGTGATCATGGCCTCGATATCGGTGTCAAAAGGGTTCTCATTGCGGTAGGATCGTGGGGTGGAGAGGTTGCTGTCGCGGTGGAGGTCGAGACTCTTCTCGGGGGTCGTCGTGGGAACGGGCGTCAAGTTGGCAGAAGGGATACCCTCGGTGGTGGTGGTGAAGGCCGCCTTCTCGGGGACGGAGATGCTTGCGACAGTCGGGTCGACCGTCGTCTTTTCGACGGTGGCAGCCATTGCGAATTGCTCGGGGGATAAGCTGGCGAGCCTGCTAAGAATACGATACTCGGTGGTGCTGTGCTTGTGTGGAGGTGTTCGACAGAAGAATCCAAGCACCCCAAGATGTCTGTCCCGTTGTTGAAGAAAAGGAGGCTAGACAATTGCCAAGAAAACGCTGCTGGGCAGACTGGGAGGCGGGTTAGTCAGGGCATGGCGAGGTTAAAGTATGAATCAGCGGTAGAAAGGTTGGGTTGCACAACAGGGTGAGGGTGAGGCGTCTTCTTGGGGAGGCAGGTTATGCAAGGCAGGAATTGAGATCAACGCAGACCCAATTAGGAGAGAGAATTGGGTGACGTACAGTAGTAGACACGGCAGGTACTCTGCGACACCCGAGCTGGAGGAACACGGAGTGGTTGTGGTCTGGTGGCAGGAGAGGCAGACGGTTCTCAAGCAGCGCAAGTCCAGCGGCGATGGCCTGATATCAACCCACTCGAATGGTCCCAGCCAGAAGGTGAGGTGACGGCGCGGTTCCAGTCGCAAGGCAGATGACGGCCGGGGGCGAGGAGCCAAGGCGGATTGTCTTTCCAATGGCGGGTGTTCTCTCCAAATCAAGGCCTACGGAAGGGGCCTTGTGATGTCAACCGGGGGCTGGTTGGCACGCTGGAAGGGAGGATGCGAGACAGGCAACCGAAGAGAGAGAATAAAGGGAGGAAGATGTCGAGGAGACAGAGGTCGATAAGGCGGCTGAGGATGGAGGGAAGGAGGTGTTGAAGAAGGTCGAGGACAAGAATAAGACCGACGACGAGCACGAGCAGGAAGAGCTGCCTTGTTGAAGGGTGTGCCTGTACGAATAAGGGACTGTGTGCAAGCACGACCCGGATGGAGGTTGATGTGGATGGAGGACTGGGGGGCGTTGAAACCAGACTGCAAGGCCGTTCAGCAGTGCAGGGCAGTTGGGACGGGACGACCTTCAACGAGAACTTGGCGGATTCGAAGAGACGACGCGACGGGAAGAGGGAGAGAGCAAGAGGAAAGGCAACGTGCACGGAGGGGAGGGTGTCACGATGGTTTTATTGGGGATGTGAATGTGGATGAGGAAGGCATAGCATAGGTAGTGAAGTGCATGGTAGATACATTGGGAGTGAGTGGATAAGTGCCAGTTGCATAGCGGCAGCAGGTACACTACACGAATACAAGCTCCAGTGCGATGGATATGGCTGTTTGGCTGTTGGGGACGCCTGTAAGAGGCAGAGACACTGCGAGTACGGGATAGAGCGACTGACTACTGAAACCTGGGAAGGCAGACAACCAGAAACGGGTGTGAGAGAGAGCGAGCGAGAGAGAGTGCGCCGAGCAGAGAGAGAGAGTGAGGGTGAGGGCCGTGGAGTGACAGACATGGGATGGAGAGCAAGAGAGAGATTGTGGATGCACCACACCCTGTCGGGTACGTACCCGCCTAGGTAGGTGGTCCCTCTCTCTGTGGCCCTTGGATCAGTGGATGGACCACGACCCAGACCGGGGACAGCGGTGGCCCCGCTGTTCGCTTGGGGTGGCAGCCGGGGGCTTGCTGGGGGCGTCTCAATGGGAGTGGGAAGATGTGAATGGAGCCAAGATTGCATCTGCAGGGGACTCCTCTCTCTCTGTCAGTCGCTCGCTCTCTCTCTCTCTCTTTTTTTTTTTTTTTTTTTTTTTTTTTCCCCTTCCTTTCCCCCCCTCTTTCAGNTTTTTTTTTTTTTTTTTTTTTGTTTTTTTTTTCCCCTTCCTTCTCCCTCCTCTGTCAGGAGTGGCGGCAGCTGGCAATGTCCAAGTACAAAACCACGTCCTTACGGGCGGTACACTAGCAATTAGACACCCACGGCCGCCAGCAGATGCACAAAGACATTGGGAGACGCAACGGGAGGCCAAGACCTGGTGGCTCCCCTCTGGACTGATTTCTCTCTTTTTTTTTTTTTTTTCTCGTGGAATTCTCCGGGGCCCTTGTTGTTGAAAAGCTTGGACGCCTCCTGGTGCGGCGACAGCGAATACGTCGAGAATACGCGCACTGACGCTGAGCTGAGCTGGGAGATGCGATGTCTGATGCGATGTGGTGCGATGCGATGCGAGTATCCCGTATCTGTGCAGTCCAGTCTGCCTAGGCTCGAGCTGGCTGTACCTGAGAAGTCGCCGTGTCTATTTTGTTTTGCTTCCTAGCTAGCCCTGAGGAAGGTTTCGTCGCCTTAGCTAATCTTTGAGCTTTTGGAATTCGCCAGTGAACCTTCCTTGATGCTTCCCTGTCAATACTGCGTAGAGGTCGATTGCCTGACTCCTGAGGCGCTGCTGCCACTGACACACCACCTGCTCTCTGCATCTCCCGTAAATCGGATTCGACAGCGATACGTACCCTCTCGTCTATCCCACCCACTGGCTGTTTGCTCCAGTGGATGCGTATCCATTTCCAGAATGGTTCGAGCAATAATGGAGCTTGTCGTCCAGCTGGACTGGGGTTTCAACGCTGGATCTTCGTCCATTGTCCCTGTGCCCTTCTTCGATTGTCACCTCAGACCTCAGAGGCGCGACGACCAGTCCAGACCGCCACTGCCAGTCGCTGCAAGCAGGACCGTCACCACCACCACGGTAGAGCTGATCTACTTTAGTGTAGCTGTGTTGGTAGACAGGCGTGACAGGCGGCAGACTACAGCAGCAGCTAGACCTCGACAGCCGAGGAGGGGGCGGACAAGCACAACGCCAACGTCCACGCGACCAGCAGCAGACCAGATGAAAGAGAGAGTGTGTCTTGGTCCTTAGACTCCAGGACTCCTAGCGACGACGATGGACCAAGACGACATCGGCAGACTGCGCCGGCCAGGCCCCCCGCCATGCGCCCAAAAGGCCAAATCAAGTTAGCCGCAAGTACCTCCCACTGCTTGCTTGCGGGGAAGTG